ACAAACTCTTAACTCATTAATTCCATGAAACATTTAGAAACAAGCCACTTAAATCCAGCCAAGCTGAAAAGAATGGGATCATTTGTACCCATCAGCACATATTTAAAGTTTACCTACCATAATCTATAGATTGTTTTAATTGTACTTCATATTTCCTCCAAAGTTATCTTCTTAGTAAATGGCAATTCCAGTGTGCTTATTGTCACCCAAATAACTTGGATAACAGCAGTAGTAAGACTGGATTGTTGTAAATGCCTAGGCTTTAGAAATGACATATTACAACCATTAGTATTGAAGTTGATCTTCCAGAAAATAATACTAGGCTCTGGAATCCAGGGTGTATTCACAAGCTATGATTTTAAAATGCACAGTCACTTTTGTAAGTCAGTCAGTTTGCAAAATTAGATGGGAATATATTATCAGACAATGTCCTGAATATATTTTTATGCACTGGACTGAACCCTTGTGGTTCCGTGTCTTTAAAATTGGTGTATGAGAATCAGCTCTAACAAGTAAGTTATTTTCCTTCTCTGCCTGGCTGAATGAGAATTTCTGTCTCGACATTTGTCTCAGACCCTTGAATGAACAAACTTTTCAAGGTGCATTCTCTAACATGGATGGTCAAGTCTGAGGCAGGCACCGCTTTCCAATGCAACTTTTTAATATATATATATCACACACACACACATATATATATATCACACACACACACACATATATATATCACACACACGAATCCTGAAGGTGTTTTGTTTTGTGCTGGACAGGTGGGGGAGCAGCTGCCAAGATGAAAAGGAAGGTTGTCACTGGCAATCTGATTACTATAATTCGTGGGGACCCTTTTTGCACCCTCTGTGGGGAATGTTTGAAACGTTTTCGAAGAACTTCTGTTTTTGCACAAGTGTAGCTTTCTTTCATTCAAACATTTATTTTGCTTCGACTGGAGTATGATTTTTTTAAAAATACAAGACGTTAACGTCTTCTGAATTTGACTGCAACATCAGCCTAAAGTAGTTATTGCAGAGTTAAGTGACTGTTTTTATTATGTTGCACCTAGATAGTTTCATTTTGCTTCCCTCCACTTTAACTGGGATCTAACAGATCCCATTTCCTTTTCAGCAAAATTCTCAAAAGTAAAGAAAATGAAGGGGAAAGGTTTTGAAATACTAGAGGGTAATCGTGGCCCCCTCAGTGCAGAAGACTACACAGCGTATGAAGTGGCACAGGTTGGGGGAAGAAAATATCTGCATGTTTCTAAGGGGTTTTTTTGGGAGGGGGGGTTAGGTGACTGAAATGGTTAAAGTGGAAATGGTTAAGGCTTCTAAATGAACCAGCTCTATGTTTTAAAAATAGACCTAATAACAATTGATTGGCACAGTAATGAGATAATACGGAGAACAAGAAAAACTGTGAAAAAGTGACGCTTAATATATGACTTTAAAGAATCATAGAAAAGTGAACAAAAATCATATACATAATCATAGAAAAATATATTGACGGTGATCTCCGGAATGTCTTGCCGTTTCGAAGGAAGATCTTCTGAACAAAGATGTGGGGCAAAAACTGTCTCTCAATAGTTCATATGCTCTGGTGACATCTCACAATTATGAAAGAAGATTTTCAATAATCATAACTGCTGTAATGTATAGTAGAACCTGCCATGGGCTGAGATGATTGTAATGCCTGTTCTGATGTTAAATGAGAAATGTTGCTCTTAGCTTCGGTTCCTTTGTAACTCTGCAAGTACAAGTTCTCCATCTGCCTTGTAATCAAAAACATCCTGTTAAGATTGGTCTACTCAGTACACAACTCAAGTTGCAAATGCAAGTTAGCGCCAGGCTTTTGCATGAGCTTATATAACTGTTCGGGGGGGGGGGGACACACGTACAAACAGTCCCTCCGATTGCATTTTGCGTGGTATGTTGTCAGTGTGCTAAAATTCAAACTAACCTGACACTGAGAGTGAGCCAAGCAAATAGCAACTTTTTCTGGGAATCAAGTTATAATACCCCAATTGAAATGGTACCTTTTAGTTTTTTAACTGTATTAAAACTGAGCTGTTTCCTTAGTTGTTCTTTGATTGTTATGACTTTATCATTTAGATCCAGCTTCTGCTGAGTACTAACAGTGTGTTAGTGAGGTTGAATCAAATGGTGAATTCAGCGTAGCAAAAGCACAGTTAAATCCTGAATCCTTAATGCAATTTGGCTCCTGTACTGTTTGCACCGTGGGGACCCTTGAATGCTACCCTGGCCATACGAGTGCGGCTTTTCCATGAGATGTGTGGCTGGGGTAATAGTGGTAGTGTCTAGTCATATGTCTCTTGTCTGTGGAATCAACACCATGCCAGGACAAGAAAGTACAAAGTCTAGGGGGAAAGACCCACATGGTTCCTGCATTATTCCAGGTTTTTGGAAGGTATTTATGGAAAAGTGGCTAGGGCAATGATGAGCAGTGGCTCAGGAGCTGTCTGTGGCACTTCTGGGCACTGTTCCCCAGTGTGGCATCAACACCATGTTCCAGGAAAGTGAACAATGTCATTGCTTCCAGCGCTGTAAGGCCTGTAGTTAGTGGGTGGTTCCCACCTTGAAACAGCAGCTGCTCCCAGGACTAGAGGGATGGGTAAACTACAGCCTCTGTGAGGTGCAGTTAAGGTAAAGATTTCCCTTGCTCGAAAGCTAGTCGAATCCAACTCTAGGGGGTGGTGCTCATCTCCGTTTCCAAGCTGAAGAGCCAGCGCTGTCCGAAGATGTTTCCGAGGTCATGTGGCCAGCATGATTAAATGCCGGGGCGCACGGAATGCTGTTACCTTCCCACCGAAGCGGTACCTATTTATCTACTTAGAAGCTCTTGCTTTCGAGCTGCTAGGTTGGCAGGAGCTGGGGCCAAAGACGGGAGCTCACTCCATCACACAGCACTAGGGTCTCGAACTGTTGAACTACCAGCCTTCCAGTATGCAGTTCAGCATCTTAACCTCTGAGCCACCACGACTCCACATGAGGTGCGTACCTTGTGCCAGAGATGGAATTAAGAGGCCTGTCCACCTTTCTCCACAGCCTCTGCACTCTCATCCCAGCTAGGAGGACACCATGCTGGCTGCAGAGAAGAAAGAATATGATCACCCGGGAAAAGAGCAAGCTGGCCATAGTGGGGTGATGGTGACTTTACTCCCCTTTCTCCAAGACCAGCTTGCTTTCCTCTGGGTGCCTCTAGCAATCTCTTCTGCCTGACCCACCATTCCTCATGTTGAGGCAAGAACAACAAGGCAGAGAGAGAGAAGCCATCCACCACTCTCTGGACACACAAGGGCTGGCAAAGATTCAATATTGTAGGAAGAGACAACCCTAAATAGAAATAATCTGGTATTTTAAAAGTTTATAGTTAAAATAGTATGTCTTTGGTGGTGTGGCATACTGTCACATGGGAGTCATGTGTCTCTTGATTGATGGTAATACCAGGGGCAGCTCTCCCCAAGCCATGGAGTGAGTCCCACTTTTGGCTAGAGTTACATTCCAAAGGGCCCTTGGAGTAGAGTTAAAATGAGGAAGGTGCAAAGGTACGGAGTATAGAGGAGTAGCATCCTAACTCCTGCACAGTTTTTCATCTGAAGGTGACGACAATAAGGTTTTACTCTTCCTTTCCTAGGCTTGTTTCAAGTCTGCCATAAAGAGTATGCAGGAACAGTTGTAGGCTGGATATCCCCATTGCAAGTGATCCTCCTGGGGAGGATCTCTTGACTTTAAAATATATGTAAATAAACTCATAATAAGAAACACCCTCTTTAATCAGTTCTGCAGATATAACTAATGCTTGTTTGCTTATGCTGATGCGAACGCTGCTTGAGACAGGGTCTAGGGAAATTTGCATAATGAAGCATTTCTGGAAATCTTAATTTATATTTATTTGCTATCACTCAGCTATTAAGCAATGCATCTTATATTACAGCATGTGTGTCTTTGGTGGTATGGCATGGGAGTCATGTGACTCCTTTGACGGTAATACCAGATCTGCTCCCTCCCCTGTAAATCCTTTCTAAAGCTCCCTTTTCACTCTCAGAAGTATGAGAGGGTCCGTAAACTGATCTTTCTCTGATCATCTGTGTATGACAATAACGGTAAATTTAAATCTTTCTCACTCTACTGGGCAGCGTGGCAGATGGAAGGTCAGCAGAACAAGAAACCCCTCCCTCTCTTAAAAATATTTTATGATATGCATTTTACCACAAAGTTAACAAGTAAAAACAGTTTCTGAAATTGTTTTTGGTTCCAGGGTTGGTAAACCGTCTCTTGTGTTCATACTTGGCTCTGATCAGTAAGTTTTAGGGTGGCTTCCCATACTTTTCATGGTTTGGTTAACTTACTATCATGTTTACTTGCTCATTTGTAATATCAGATATATTTGGTATGACGTATTGTTTTTAACAGCTGCCTCATGGTGTAGGATGGATTTAATTTTTTTTTCTTTGAGAATTGCCCCTTGTGTCTAAACAATTTTTATGTAGTTCTTCCCAGTTTAAGAACTTCACATTTCAGCAGATCAAATCAGTGCCCTAGTTGAAATTTTGTTTGAAGATCGCCACCTAAACTTTTAGGGGGGTTATAAACTGAATGCTGTTTAATGAAAATCTAATTGGTTGTCATAGCCTTGTGGTGGGAGAGTAGATCAGAAGTAGAATTCCCCCATGACAACACTGATCTGGCCTCTTCAAAGACTTCCTGTATTTTTGGTTTGTGTTTGCTCCAGAATAGCAGCTACGTCACAATGTGTTGCTCACATAATTGTCTCTCCTCAATTCTCTTAAATAGTTTTTGTTGGTGGAAACTAGAAAAACCACTATTACGAACTTTCTAGTCAACCAAACTGATCCGACCTTATCGCTTGTGAATCAGATGTATAATTGATATGCAGAACATTAACTGTGTATTGAAATGTACATAATGCTGATGCTACTAGCTGGTGTGAATCTGTAGCCCAACATATGTTTGTTTGTTTTTTCGTAGATTCAAATTCAATGGCAAACAGCTATTGCAACACTTGACACCCATGTTTCTGGGTATCATGGATTTTCTGGAATTCAGTCTGCAAAGTATTCTCAAAAAAGTAATGGTTTACTTGTAAGCTTCAGTCATCTCTATCAGTTGCAGTAATGGCCAGCAAAAGGAAGTCCACAACGCCCTGTATGATACCAACAAAAACACTGGTACTGCAGGAGTCTCAGCCAGCCACTGCTGGAGTTGATCATGAAGGATTTCAGCTATCGGTTACACCTGCAGCTTCACCTGTTACTGAAACTATTAGCAGTAATCACAACAGTGGAACATTGTCCAATGGACACAGAGGTATTGTGGATGGGGATACGTACAGATGTAGGTATTGCGATTTTGGCTGTCAGGATGCTAGTCGGTTTCTTGGGCACTTGGATTCTGAGCACATAGACTTTTGCAAAGACCCCTCCTTTGTGTGTGTGCAGTGCAGTCTCCTGGTAAAGAGCCACAAAGAGCTTTCTTGTCACAATGCGGAGAGCCATGCTGGGGAAACAAACTTAATCTGTAACGTTGCGAAACAAGGCAATCGCGTGATTGTGGAGCAAACCATTGGGGATGCTGCTTCCATTACCCAAGTCTTTTCAGGGGATCTCCCAGAAGAAGGGCAAGACAGTCAAGCTGAAATTATCATTACCAAAACGCCCATTATGAAAATAATGAAAACAAAACCTGAAGTGAAAAAAATCCACACGCTGAAAGAAAACGTGTCTAGTCAACCAGTCAATGATCCAGAGAAAAAAGGAAGTGAACAGCCATTCAACAATGGACCTGCACCAGTGAGTCAGTCAAATACAGTCAAATCAACACCTATCATCAGTGGCTCGATAGTAGGAAATATGCCTGTTTTGCAAGCAGGCATCACCCAGCTTGTGCAACTGCAGCAGCAACCCCAGGTTCAGCAGCAACTACCCACATCGAAATCCCTTCCCAAAGTAATGATTCCCTTGAGCAGTATCCCAACCTACAATGCCACAATGGACTCCAACAGCTTTCTGAAGAACTCTTTCCATAAGTTCCCTTACCCTACCAAAGCTGAGCTTTGCTACTTGACAGTGGTGACCAAGTACCCAGAAGAGCAGCTGAAGATCTGGTTCACAGCCCAGAGGTTGAAACAGGGTATCAGTTGGTCACCTGAGGAGATTGAAGATGCACGGAAGAAAATGTTCAACACAGTGATTCAGTCCGTACCCCAACCCACAATTACAGTGTTGAATACGCCTCTAGTTGCAAGCCCTAACAGTGTTCAGCATCTCATTCAGGCCAGTTTGCCTGGCCATGCCATCAGCAAACCTGAAGGAGCTGGCGGTATGCTGGTTACCCAACCCATAATAACCAATGGACTTCAGAGTACAACCTCATCTCTCACAATAGCAGTAACCTCCGTTCCAAAGACCCAGACAGCTAAGCAACCATCGGCTGTGTCAATTTCTAGTCCTGCATCAGCTATGAAAGTGGTCAGTGCCTCTCAGACACAGCCCACAGCCTGCCCAAGCATATTTTCACAGGAATTCCTAGACCCCAACATATACAAAAACAAGAAATCTTTTGAACAGCTGTCTGCATTAAAGACTAGCTTCTGTAGGAATCAATTCCCTGGCCATGCTGAAGTTGAGCGGCTGACAAAAGTCACAGGCCTTAATACAAAGGATGTTCGAAAATGGTTTAGTGATAGGAGGTACCATTGTAGAAATATAAGAGGCAGCAGAACTGTATATGCTGGAGATGATACAATAATCATAGACTCAGTACCTGAAATTACTTTCACCTCATCTCCCAAAACAGCCTCAGAATTACCATCCACTGCAGCAGCAGTGCCTGTAACTCATACCCCAACCCGTCGGCAGTCCTGGCATCAGACCCCTGATTTCTCCGCTACAAAATATAAGGAAAGGGCTCCTGAACAGCTGAAAGCCCTGGAAGGCAGCTTTGCACAAGATCCTTTTCCTTCAGGGGAGGAAGTGGACCGTTTGAGGACTGAAACAAAAATGACAAGGAGAGAAATTGACAGCTGGTTTTCAGAACAGAGGAAAAGACAAGCAGTCAAAACAACAGCCCAGCAAGTAGAGGACGATGCAGAAGAAGACTCCGTGGAAGAAGAAGACTCGTCGGATGACTTGAAAGCTTCAAACGAAAATGGTTCGTTGGATGCAGTCAGTAGCGCCCAGACATCAGGTGAGCGCAAAGTGACTCCTATAAAAATCAATCTGAAGAATCTCAAAGTGACCGAGTCGAATGGCAAAAGTGAATTGTTGGGCTTGAGTGTAGACAATCAAAGAGAGAGTTCTCCTAGCAAGTCAGTTGCACCCCAGAAACCCAAACAAAGCCTTAAAAAAACAGCACAGCAAAGGCATTTGCTTAAACAACTCTTTGTGCAGACCCAGCGGCCTACAAATGAACAGTATGACAAATTGTGCTCTGAGTCAGGTCTTCCCAGGAGTGAAGTAATCCGTTGGTTTGGGGATAGCCGCTATGGCTTAAAAAATGGAAATCTGAGATGGTACGAGAACTACAAGCAAGGCATCTTTCCTAAAGGCTTAGCTGACCCCAGTGATGCCAAAGTGGAGATCCTCCAGGACTATTTTCAGAAGAACAAGATGCTCTCTGAAGACAGTCTCCCGGGTTTGTGTGAGAGAACTCAGATGACTGCCGCACAGGTCAGGCTGTGGTTTGCTGAAAGGCTGGAGGAAGAAAACAGGCCAGTTTCAGATACTAGCAGTGAGGATCAGTGCTCAAGCGTTGGTGAGCCACCCACCGGTCACAAAGGAGCATCTGATGCCTTCTCTGAGGCTTCTGAGAACAGTGAATCCTGGGAGCCTGGGGGTCAAGAAGGCAGTTCAGAGCTTGCAGATGGTCCTCTGCCTGCAGGAAATCCCGGTAAGAAATTTGTTAACTTCCATGACAGTTTCTGCTTGTGACTGCTGTCTTTAAGCCGGCCACATTCCAGCACCAAGAAATGAATTTAACAACAACAGCAAAAAAAAAACCTGGGGGAAAAATCAGTAACTGAAAGATCTTTAGAGATTAATTTTGTTGGGGTGAGGTGGGAGGTGTCATTATATACCTCTTCCCATCATACAAAATTTTGCTTTCTTGATTGCATGAAAGCAACGCAGAAAATCGTCACCCTGTGGATGCAACCGTAGTGGAAGTGCTTGAATTTCTGTGGACAAGTGGCTTAGTATATTACTACAATGTGCTGTTAACATGGAAAAAGAGTTCATGTTGTTTCCTAGATCAAGTGGGTCCCAAGTGCAGTATGCTTAAAATCGTATTTTAATCCAGGACACTTTTAAAGAGCTTTTTGTTCCCTCATCACTTTCATTCTGATTCATAAGACATTAGATTCATAAGACATTTACAACTGAGATATGAATCAGACAACCAGTGAGCAATGCAATAGGACTAGGATTACAAAATGAAGGAACAATGCAAACAACCAACTGTCTAAGGCAGGCAAACTATAAATGATACATAAAGTGAATTACAAGGTAAAGACAATGCAGTAAACTCAGGTGATACCTACAGTAATCATTGCAGTAGATTATTCCCTCCTTATAAAGGCACCCTCTTGAGCTGCTCATTCTACTACAGTCCTGATCTCTTTTTCAAAATACCCTATTGAACATTTTGGTCTTGCACATTCTGTGGAACGACAGAAGTGTGAAAGCCTTCCCGACCTCCTCAGGCAGGCCATTCCACAAGGTCCGAGCCATTTTTGCTCATTTGCAGGGCGGCACCTGTGGAAGCCTTTGCTCAGATGAGCAGAGTTAAGAACATAAGAACATAAGAGACGCCAATGTTGGATCAGGCCAAAGGCCCATCCAGTCCAACACTCTGTGTCACACAGTGGCCAGAAATACCAGTGCCATCAGGAGGTCCAGCAGTGGGGTCAGGACATTAGAAGCCCTCCCACTGTTGACCCCCCCCCAAGCACCAAGAAGACAGAGCATCACTTGCCCCAGAGCCCCTAGCTATACCTTGTGGCTAATAGCCACTGATGGACCTCTGCTCCATATGCTTATCTAATTCCCTTTTGAAGCCGTCCATGCTTGTAGCACCCACCACTTCCTGTGGCAGTGAATTCCATGTGTTAATCACTCTTTGGGTGAAGAAGTACTTCCTTTTATCCGTTCTAACCCGACCGCTCTGCAGTTTCATGGAGTGCCCACGAGTTCTTGTATTGTGAGAAAGGGAGAAAAGTACCTCTTTCTTTACCTGCTCTTTCCCATGCATGATCTTATAAACCTCGATCATGTCACCCCTCAGTCGTCTTTTCTCCAAGCTAAAGAGCCCTAAGCGCTTTAACCTTTCCTCATAGGGAAAGTGTTCCAACCCTTTTATCATTCGAGTTGCCCTTTTCTGCACTTTTTCCAAAGCTATAATATCCTTTTTAAGGTGTGGTGCCCAGAACTGCACACAGTATTCCAAATGAGGTCTCACCATTGATTTATATAGGGGCATTATTATATTGGCTGATCTGTTTTCAATACACTTCCTAATAATCCCCAGCATAGCATTGGCCTTCTTTATTGCAGTCACACACTGTCTCGACATTTTCAGTGAGTTATCCACTACAACTCCAAGATCTCTCTCTTGCTCAGTCTCTGCCAGTTCAGACCCCATCAATGTGTATTTATATTTAGGATTTTTGGCTCCAATGTGTATCACCTTGCACTTGGCCACATTGAACCCCATTTGCCATGTTGACGCCCACTCGCCCATCCTTGACAGATCCCCTTGGAGTGCCTCACAATCTTCACTGGTTTTCACCACCCTGAACAACTTTGTATCATCCGCAAATTGTCACAAGGGAGCATAGTGGGAGAGGCAGCCCAGCTGGAATGTTGACCCAAAGCCATTCAAGCCTTACACCTGAAAAGCTCACAATGCAATTCACACCAAGCTACCCCATAGAATTCCCCCAGTACGGTTTTTCATCACATATCTGTCTCGAAAGTCCATCCTGAAATAAAGGTTGTTGGTCTTCAAGGTGCCTCTAGATCTTTATTTCCCTAGTCTGCAGCAATCTAAAACTTGAATCTCTGCCCTCTGCTGCAGCTTGCAGTGACAAATGGCAGGTGTTATAGTCTCCAAGGTGCCATTGGACTTTTGTTTTATAAAAGGAGTGGTTATTTCACAGCAGGGACATTAAGTTTATGCCTGCAAGTGGGCCTCTGGGAAGTCCCCAGGCTTCAGCATCTGCCCCACCTTGCTGCCTGTTGACACCGGCTCTGCGTCCAGTCCTTCACTACGTCTCTTTTTCTTTCTACATTCTGTTCTGTAAACCATGTTGAATATAAACCCACAGGGTTTGCTGGTGATCTAAGGGTCAAAACAGACACATCACTGGGAGATCTGTGATTGGATCTTCCTGCCATTTTGAAAATAGTCATGGAAGCCATGGAGAGAGGGGCAGTGTGGATTAGGCGTAGTCTAACTCTCCCCCCTCTTCATGGAACTTTGATTGGCAAAATTGTTTGGGGTGGGAGGAGAGTTAAAACTCTTCATCCTCACTACACATCCCTGACCCAAATTGCTCCCCCCATATGGTTTTTATTAGCATTTTTTTAAATGCTTGGGTGATCTGATCACGGATTTCCCAGCATCTTCTACCATGTGCCTCTGCACTTCAGCAGTGAGGAGACTGACAGAGGGACAGGCAGAAAGAGGCGGCTGTGTCCAAGCAGTTATACATACCTAGATTTCATCTCAATTTGTGGATGAGCACGGAGAGCTTCACGGAGAAGTGGGTTTTGTCGAGGGAGGAGAGAAGTGGCGCCACACACATGTTCTTGAACCAAGTTCCCAGTCGAAGGGACAGCAAGGGGGAAAGGCCTGGATCCTTTCAGAGACCAGGGAACGTTTGGGCTCCCGGTGGTAGGAAGAGGAAGAAAAAGGCCACTGTGGACAGAACCTGAGGAAAAATCAGGAGGTGTTCCAACCAGTCACCCATAACAGCAGACAGGCATTTTAAGGCACATTTCCCCATCAATTCCTTGTTTCCCCTTCCTTAAAACAGCTGAGGGTTTGCTTTGCTTTGTGACTTTGCATTTTCAGCTTTCTTAGTCTTTCTGCCTGCTGATTTTTCCGGTGTTATAAAGTATATTGTGACGCCTGCTTGTGGGGTTTTTCTTTTCAGAAACGGACGGAATCGGTGCTGCCTCCCCTTGAAGGACCTGCTGTTAAATTTTTGAAGACTCAGCAGCTATGGGGCTGGTAGGAATCTGTGTAGAAGGACCTGTGGAAACACTGCCGTAATGCCAAGAACTTCCTTTCGCAAAGCACGTTTTGGGGGAGAGCAATGACAAAGACCTTGGGGCCTTTAGACTCTAGCATAGGAGCAGAGCCCAGCATACTATGCAGAAGATCCTTTTCTCTCCTCTCTGTCATAGGGCCTTCTGTTTTGCTTTCCATGGGACTTTCCCCCCCTTCAAACTTCATATCCATCATAGTCAAATTTTCTAAATTACCAACCAGGCTTCAGAAGGATCATGAATCTTGGGCATTGTGTTAAACGTTCTCTTTTCATAGACAAAGAACTATCATTTGGCACAATATATTTAAGTTTTTTAATAGTTTGTTCTCCAAAAGCTGGATCATTGCATATATTCTCATATTTGGGTCTCTAGGTCTGGAAATCAAGTATATTTGTGGGTGATGAACCGTGTACAAGTTGTACACAAAACCAATTGAATGTCGATCATTGGAACCATTTTTTTTTTTTAGGAGCATCATGGAAAAAACCTGCTGGGGGGGGGCACACCCAAAAGTGGCATCAGATATTATTTTGTCCTTCGTGCGAAATAATGTGACATTATCCCACCAAATAAGATGCACCTATTCAACAAGTCTACAATGTATATTTTTTGTAAATCCTAACCCAGTTTTTTCCAATTATACAAAGCAAAAAATTATTCTTACTAAGGCTACTGAGGGGGAAAAAAATGCAGGCTCTGAAGTAATTGTGATTAGGAAGTCACCTGATTGGCCAAGTGCCACATTTTACTTATGAAAATCTCCCTGTATGGATCAAAGCTGTTTAGATCTTATATTTTTGCTGTGTTGTCATCATTCCAGCCATGGATGAGCTGGAATAAATTGCTGGTAGCTTTAAGCTATATTGCACAATCTTACGTGCGTATACTAGAATCTAGAGTGAGGCCTGCATTTTGGCTCCTTGTCGTTTTGCAAGAGTTTTATTTAATCAACTTAATTTTGTATGGAATCTTTAATTTAACGTGCCAGGATTTTATTTCTAGCAGCAAGGAAATATTTATTTAAACGCAGGGAATTGATAGCACTAACTAATTAGCTGTTTTACTGGGTACACATATATGCTTTTGCTTAGGCCTTACGAATCTTGTCTCAGTATCAGATCCCAACTTTGGATTGCATTGTACTGAGCATTTTATCTGAAGGTCCCAGGCTATCCCCAACATTTTTTTTGTTAAAGGACCTAAGGTAGTAGGTGCTTGGAAGGGCCTGTTTCTGACTGAGACCTTGGAGAGCCACTGCCTGTCTGAGTGGGTGTTATTGAACTGTACGGTCTTGACAAGGCAACTTCATATGTTTATGTCTTTTATGGAAACTCTTCTGCCAAGAAGCTGAAAGATCCTTTGTTGTTCATTCTGTCTAGTTCTGATAGCTCAAAAGCCTCTTGTCTTTCCATGTTCTTCTTAAGAAGCATCACAGCAACTCAAGTGTATTACATGTTGCTGTGCTTTCAATGCTTGTGCAAAAGGTCTGTCTTCAGATCGCTGCTAGGGCTTGAAAGCTGCATTGACCCAAAGCAAGGAAGAGGTCTGAATCCAAGGATAGTTGATGCTTAGGAGGTGTGTGCCCCAGACTGGTAGCTTAAGGGGACAGTGGTGCCTTCAGAGAACAAATGCAGGTAAATGTCTTGAGACATTGTCCTCCCAGCAATGTGAATATTCATTGTAGTGAACAGGAAACAAGCCAGAGCTCCCAAATGAAAAAGCAGCCTTGTTCACATCAGTAGAGCTAGTACACAGTAGAGCTGTGCCCTTGCTTTACAGGGCTTTCTTACGTGCAAGTTTATATTCATATGCACATGTATAGTAGTTGTGATTATTTTATGCCTAGAGTCTCCATTAAATTATACATGTAGAGACCGCTCCATCATTATGTTGGAAAAACTAATGTAGCTCTTTAAAGAGAGTGTGGGTTTCACGTACACTTGAGACGTTTGGTAGCTGACTGGAAGCAGCCATTGCTCAGTTTACCACCATAACTGGATTACTAAAGTTGCAGTTCTCAACATACTTACTTGGAAAGCAAGTTCTGCTGGTGCTGGAGAGATTCAGTTTGACGGGTGGATGGTTAAGGTGGGCAAGTGTAGTAGCAATCTTTTTAAAAAAATCTTTTTTTGGACTAGGACTTCGAGCTCAGGCAAAGCTTGGGGCAGGGTCAATTAACCCCCCTCATGATTTAAAAGAAATGTGTCAAATTCACTCCAAGGAGAGGTGTGCCATCAAGGTGAGTTGCATTAGGTCATGATAAAATGCACACAGAATAGAGTTGGTTGAGCCTGGATCTGTGGCAAAACACTTCTGTGGCATGGAACAAGTGAGCACCCAGTATCCACACCTGCCACAGTGTAGACACCCATAATATGAGGGCCCAAATCTTAAGTGCCATCAAATAACAGGAGTCAGTGAAGTGTAAAAGTCAAGGTGGCCATTGGGACCCCTCTGCCTTGATTCAGTGATGCTTTGTGGGTGTGTGAATTCCATTTGGCATCCTCTGTTCACCTCAATTCCTTGGAGAGGACTAGCTCTGTGGGCAAATAGGTGCACATAGAATAATGACCATCCACTGAACTGAATATACGAATCCACTTGCAGGAAAAATACATTCCCATATGCGTGGATCAGGTGCCTGGTCTTTAGTCAACGTGAAGATTTGTATTAGTTCATAATCACTGCATTATTTCACCTGTAATTCAATATAGAGTCAAATCTGCTAGATTTTAATTAGGTTTGGGGATTTCAAAAGATTGTATTCTACAGAGTGGGGAACTACAGTACTGTTTTTAGTGTCATCTTGTGTTTTCTGTTTAGCAAAATGCACAGGTTTTGAAGCAAAACTCAAGTACATATTGGTAGTTGCTGACCAGATATTGATCTCCTCTCAGTGGTTTTGCAGATGCATTTCTTGTTACAGGAAACATTACCACAATTTTGCTCAGGCCTTTTAATAAGTCGGTTATCTCTGCTGCTATATATAAGAATTCAAAGCAGTTTGTGTTAACAGTTTCTTGTATGGAAGAAAGACTGCTGGGGGGTTTGTCCTTGGTTTCCCCATTGCTGTGTGATAGTTAAATTTAATATTGCTGGAGACTGAATGTTGCTGGTGAAACAAATTAATCAGGATTGTATTTTGGTTTTTTTGCACTCATACCTGTACACAGTCTAAGTTACAGCTGGAAAAGTCAAATGCTTGAGAATTAGAAATTCACACAACACTCTCCATTTTTGTAAACACCACCCGTTTTTTCTTGGAAAGGTATTGGAACTTTCTGGTTAGGGGAAAAAACATTTGGCTAGTTTGTAATATTCATGCTCATTAGATAAGGCACTTAATTTTATAGGTTGTTAAAATAAAGTTTTCTAAAAGTGTTTATCTGGTTCTTCATAATGGATCCTATACTGGTGCCCATATTTTACCAGGGTGGAGTGGGATGAGATAGGATGGGTTAAATTCTTTGATTACTACTATTTGATTTACTATTTGTAATTCCTCTCATTATAGTTGTTTTTTTCAAATGTATATTACATTTGTGCACATACCCTTTTGTTATGGATAGTGTACATAGGAACAAACGTGTAAGGCTATATTGTGAGATGCTGATTGGTCTCATTTACCCAATGGCTGCTCATTGAACCAGATCAAATCTGAATTGTATTGACTCACCCTCCAGTAGCTGATCTTTTGAGTCAAATTCATACTTTAAAAGTTGTGCACTTTCTTTAGCTTACTGTGAAATGACAGGTTTAATACTGCTAATGCAGCTCTTTGTGGAAAACAAGGGCTGGTGGATGGGGCCAAACTCTCTCAAACTGTGAGACCAGCTGGTGGGGCTCATTAGATCCAATTGCTTGATAGTGGTGCTCTGTGTGGCTGTCAGATCAGATAAATATTAATACGATGGTACTACTCTACACCGTGTGGCCTTCGTGGTCTGTTTCTGAATCTGGAGCTGGTTCCAGGCCAGTTGTACACAGGCAGGATTAGTGTGTCTGTCCTGATCATTTGAAGTTTTATTCCCCCCCCCCACACACACACACACCATTTCCCGTTTCTAAACAGCAACACAGCCAATGAAATGTGGGGATGTGGGGAATTATGAGCCAGAATGCAGGCTGTTTTGAGATCATGTGAAGGGACTGGAGCGTGTTCAGCTGCAAGCACACAGCGTCCCTTTAGATGGTATTACTCATACTAGAATGTTAATGTCATCCTTCCCGAGAAATACTCTTAGGGGAAAAAAGTGATTGAACCACCCGTTAGAATGGGAATAACACATTGTAAAATTGTTAATAATGGAATAGCAAGCAAGGGGATCAGTAAATAGTCTCCACCTTGCAAAGGAATATACGTACTCTTTTTGCAAGAGATCCAGTGGTCACTCTGTGTCAGCATTCATCCTGTCTAAACCCCATTGATCTAAATAACATTCATGTTCTTGTGCACTCCCTTCAGTGGAGCCAGAGCTGAAATTCCTGATGGATTGTGCCCAGTGTCAGATGCTGATGTGTCTGTTAACTAGCACTAAAGAAATCTGCCTGACAGTGTGTCTCAGATTCTGGAAGCAGTGTTGAAATGCACATACCTGTATGGAACCAGATTTACCTCTTAATAATTTTTTTTTTTTTAAAGAAATGTGTATGGCAGAAGGGAAGGTTTCCCATGGCTTAGAAACACCTGAAGTGGCTCATGAGGAGGTGTGTGGGAAATGTGCTTGGGTGTCTGGCTGCAGCTGGCTTGTTTAGTCTGTCTAGACTTGGGTCTCCTCTGCAAGTATAATGAGTTTGCCGTAAGAGAGTGCTGGAGATGAATCCAGTGGACTTGACGCATGCTTGTAATTTTAATGTTGGACAAAGCAGGCCTGAAGAGCCTCTAAGGCTGAAAGGTCAGGTGTATCTTTCTTGTTCCTGGTTAGCGTAGAAGTTTTTTTCATACCAGTTGAAGGGCTCCCAGTTTTACTCAGCATCAGTATCTTACCTGTGGGTCTTTAGTAATGGGAGAACAGTGGAATCCTGTTTGTGCCTATACATGAAAGAGATGCTCTTACGAAACAAGCAGTTTTTCCTCAGAATTTGCTAGCAATCTATTCCAGTGCAAAAAATGGTTGCCCTTATACATCATGTCTGAATGAGATCTGCCCTCTCCCTCTTCTCCCCCCCCCCCTCACCACAGTGGAGGGTAGTAGGCTTCTTACGGAAGGGTCCTGATAGGCAGTTTGCATGTCTGGCAAAAGATCTGCAGTGCCTTTAGGGCGCTTTCATACAGGCTACAGAGCTCTGTCAATCTGTCTTCTTCTGAGTAGACTGCATTTGCAGGCTGTGGGGAAGCTACTATACACACACACACTATCATGAAATGCTGAATACTTCAGAGCTTTGATTTATCGACAGGGTCACTATAATGTAGCAGTGAAGGGCCCTTTATAATAGATGGCCTTTCTTGAAATGGGCTAGCTCACCCAATCTCTGATGTCACTTGGATAGGGTTCCATTTTTGTAACTTTTTTTTGGTAGGGCTAACTTACAAAGTATGTAAAAATAAAATTAGGGATCTTTTGTACTTTTGGTAAAACTTCTTGAAGAGGAAAAAGCTGAAACTGCAGGTGGATAATCAGTTCTTCCGGTGGGGAGAACTGGTGCCCGTCCTCGGATGTCACTCACTTCTGTTCAGCAATGATGCCACTTCTGCGAAGTGAACTGCAAGTTTCCCTTCATTTTGTATATGTGGCTAAGAGGTTGGGGAAAGTGCTTGCTTGTACAGTTTGGTGAAATGAGACTTTTTGGTTGTTCTTAAATAAACAGTAAGGAAAAAAACCCAGTCTTCTGCATAGTTATTGTATTGGAGGTGGGGGGTTACCATTGCATTTTAATAAAACAAAGTTTGACAGTGCTGGCTGTCAGATGAGGAAATGACACTGGGTCCTTGAGGACACAAACCAAGGGGTGGGTGAACTGAAACCTCTGGAGAGGCCAATTGTTTTGGCTGCAGGAGAGTGGAAGTTGAAATGCTTGAAGAGATGCTAAGAACAGGAAGGGAAGGAATAAGAGGAAATGTGAAGGGGGAGAGCATGCGTGAAGGCCTCACATAGTGAGTGATGGACAGCTACATGGAGAGATCCCTCACCTAAAGCCTTAGAAAAAGCCTTCCAGAGGTTACCTTGGGCACGTTTACATTTATTTCATTGTTAACAGAACTAAGCACCCTTTTTTCCCCTTCTCACTGAAACCAGCTGAGTTTAGGTTAGAATGTGTTAGACTTCAGCAAAAATAATAGGGCTGTCCTCTGGCACTATGAGATATTTTAAAAAATAAGAAGCCAACATTTTTAAAGAATAAATCCATGCCGAGGGAATCTGCATTCATGTGCCCTAAAGTTCTCTGTGGGGGGGAAATAAACCAAATTACTGTGGTATGACACATTCAGTGCTGGGAGAGCATGGGCCCCTAGCATACATTTGGGAATGCCCTGCTTTAAAGGAACAAATATAACACTAATGACTACAAATGTCTTTTTAAACAGAATACTGCAAGGATGTGATTCCACGTTGGCCATCTTTTTAGGATTCCATATGCCCAGGGCTGGGAGAAACAGAGGAAGAGAGAGAGAAGAAGAGATTAGATTTATACCCCGCCCTTCACTCAGAGTCTCAGAACAGTTTACAAACTCCTTTCCCTCCCCCTCCCCACAACAGACACCTTGTGAGGTAGGTGGGGCTGAGAGAGCTCTCTCAAGAACTGCCCTTTCAAGGACAGCTCTTGTCAGAACTATGGCTTGCCC